CGCTTGGTCAAAGTTCGTGCCAGTCGGCTCCAAAAGCATTCAGTTAGCCAGACGGGTTTCAAAGAAGTTAAAGTCGAACTAACGAGCTAATGGTGTTATTTGAGATGCTTTCTCTGTTTCCTTAGATTATTTTAAATTTATAGAAACAGTGCACTGAGGAATTCCTCCCATTCAAGTACCCTGTTCCTGGTTTATGTGTCTGTTACAGGCACGATGATTGCATTCTTAAAGCCTTAGTGGGCTGATTTACTCTTAGTTTATTGCACGCAGCGCAGGAACGGTCTCCTCATTTCCGTCCTCAGCTAACTGCTCCTTGTCTCCCTCCTAAAATTATTCGCTTTCCCGTCTTTACCCTCCCCTACAAGGCATTTTGTTTCTCTCCTGACGTATGTGACTCTTCCGGAGAAGTTGGCTCATCAAGTGCTGTTGTGTGGCCTCGAATCACATCGTGGTCTTCTTAGTGCTGCTGATGCCGCTGCGGTTGTCTGCGAACTTATTTGGCGTGCGACCGCCCTCTCGATGGACAGCTGTGAGTGTTTTCTTCTGGCATTTTTACACTGAATTATGACTTTCCAAAGAATTCGTGCCTGCTTTTAATATCCTCAGCTGGCTGATTTGTTTTTGTTTGTTTTGTTTTAAGCATTCGAACCGGCAAACTTTAACAAACCGGAACAATTGATCGACCTTCTGTACGCATGTTGCGCATACTGCACCGGCCAGGGTGTGCCAAGGTACCAATGTTCAAAAATTTTCTTTGAGCGTCTGCTGGTCTGTGTTTGCAAGTAGACAGTTAAAGCAAAGATTTTCTTCCTCCCTAGTGAGCTATCCGAGTTGGCCCATAGTGGAACGTACTGGAAGGTATCACTCGCTCTGGTAGCGCTAGCTGCCAATTTACCGAAGACTTGTGGTAATTATTTTCCCTTTGCCTATTATTTCTAGTTTCTATTTTGAAATATCTTCTATCGTACTGTTAATAACGACGACTTTTTCAGCTGTACTACCTGACAGCACCAGTGCGTGTTCCGTTTTCGCAAACGCACTAGTGCAGAACTTCACTCCTACTCTTGTTCTTGGATTAATTTTCGTTTGACGAGGCTGAATCTTTCAGCCAACTCCCAGAGCTACGTATTAGTGAACATGCGAGAGGGCAACCGATATATGCTCACCAATCTTGGTAGTAGAACACCGTATTAGTAAACACGTTTCCCGAATTATTAAAAAAACTTTGTGTGTCTACGGAAAACACAGATATTAGTTTCGAACGCAAGTATTGTTTCGCGGACGTTCCGCTTCTGGATGAAGCAATTGCGAGGGCTTTGGCTCGTCATTGGGTCTTCCAGGTTCCCCGTAGGCTTTCTGGTGTGAAGTCATATTGGCAAACAATTGTTTTCAGTCATTCATCATCAGGCCGGTACAGTGACATTGAGAATAAAAATAGTTAGTTAATTGCAGCGTTTATATGATCGTCAGGTCGGGGGAGGAAATAAAGAGGTTGCTGGGTGAGTTTAATTAAGCATCTGGGTTTTCCGTCGTCTCCTGAATGCCTCTGCTGTGGCTAACACACGTCTGCGCAGGCTTTTTGAGTAGTGTGTCGTCGTTGTATATAACCCGAAAGGCTTCGCTCGCGTCCATTTGGTGGTTCGTATCAATTAGGCGGGCGGTGATTGAGCTTGAGATCGATCTATTTTCTCCTTTGCTGATCCAGGCTGGTATGTGCTCATGTATTCTCTTCTCCGGATGTCGCGTTGTTCGGCCAATATATCCCGTTCCACAGGAGCAAGTGAAAGAATAGAGGCACATCGATGTAGCCTGTAACGGTAGTCTCTCTTTACCTCTAATTTCTGGTGTCATTGTGGTAAATAATGTAACTCGAGCGAGGCAACACTTGAGTTGGGTATGACTAGATAACGACGACTAATAAGCCAGAAATGGCTATCCTAGTCTCCCTTGTCTTTGTCGGCAATGTCTTTCTGCCTTAACCACCTTGCGACGTAGGCTCGCGTGTATGCTCCAAAGGCACTATGGACGAGCGAGTGTGTCCTCTAACTGATCGGTGTCCGCCTATTTGCCACTGTATACTCGTTGGAAATTCATGGATATTGCATGGTTATCTCGCTGTGGCTGATAGATTTCGCTTCAATTACTCATATAAGCTTTCAGACTGAATTTTTGAACCTTAATTTCCACTCATTTACTCCAAATTAGCGATTAATCTTGGAGAAGATCAAAAAGTAGTGAAATATTTTGCATTATTAAAATTTTAAATAATAAATATAAATCGGCATTGAAACCATCGTGGCATACGCTTCTTTTTGACCTCTTATCGACAATCGGCGGGCCATAAGAACAAACCTGAGTGAATAAAAGTTATTCTAAATTATGAGTAATTATAAGATGACTCCAACGATTATTAGTGAGTATTTTATCGACTTGGAAACATTTGTGCACTTAAGGATATGGCCCAAGCGAAGCAAGAAGATAATATGATGTTCAAAATGTTTGCGTAATCTGATGCCCTGCCGTTTTGTATTGTTGCCTAAACGCTGTTCGATTTTCTATAGATCTAACCGCCTCTATCCCGCGACTTTCCATGGTGTCAAACCGCATTTGTGTCTACCTGCCTTTTTCCCCTGTTCTCAATTTCAGGCGCGCATTTGTGGCTACATTACCCCACTGTCCGACG